TCTGCATCCTGATGTGAGAGCATTGTTCTATGTTTTGAAATATTCCTTGGATGAAAGAAAATTGTTTTAACCATGTTATTTACGTGAGCATCCGGAAACAAGGCTGAGTCAATAGTGACACCAAGGTTTTAACCACCGTGCTTACATTAACTAGGCAGCCATCAAGCTGTAAGCTATCAACAGCACCCTGGGCTGTCCTAGGGCCCAGTAGTAAGGATTTAACAAAAGGAAGTTACTAGGCATTCACTTCCTAACCTCAGCCAAGCATTCCTCAATCTTTAAGAGCTGAGGCAACACATCTGTTTTAACAGATATGTGTGTCGTCTGCATAACAATGAAAACTCACACTATATTTCCTAATAATATCACAAAGGGGCAGCATGTATAAGGTGAACAGCAGTGGGCCCAGGACAGAACCTTGCAGGACTCCATACCTCCATACCTCACTCTGATGGAATTAGAGTATTCATTGTTCATATGAACAAACTGGTGATGGTCAGTTAGATATGAGCAGAGTCAGGACAGTGCCTGCCCATTAAGACCAACCAAAGACTCTAGCTTTGCCAATGAAATGTCATGGTCAAAAGCATCAAATGCTGCACTTAGATCCAACAGAACGAACAGGGATATGCAACCACCGGCAGCAGCCATAAGCAAGTCATTCATGACTCTCACTAGTGCAGTTTCAGTGCTGTGATTTGGCCTAAACCCTGACTGGAACATTTCATTAATGTTTTTTTTTTGGCATGAACAGAGATAGAGTTAGCAACTACTTTGTCTAAGATTTTGGGAATAAATGGAAGATTACAAATACAATAGGTCTGTAATTACTCAAATGAGTGGGATCCAGGTTTGGTTTCTTAAGGACAGCTCTGATAACAGCAGCCCAGGGTGAATCTGGGACATGCTCCAGTCTTAAAGATGAGTTTATCGTAGTAAGTATTCTGCTACTTATTAGTGGATCTTTAAACAGCATTGCAGTTATGTTATCTAACAAACAGGTTGTAGGTCTCATTAAAGGTTTTTAGTAGATCAGATTCACTTATCAAATACCTTATTATTTATTTTATCAGACATAGCAGATTCAGGTGTCTGAATGCCATGGGCAGCCCACGTAACACTCTGAATCATCTTTCTAATATTGGTTATATTGCAATCAAAATGTGCGACAAAACCATTACTGCTAAGCGTCACTGGAATCTGTGAGTTCAATGATGCACGATTCCTTGTCAGATGTGACATAGCACCAAATAGAAATCTGAGATTGGTTTTGTTATTTTCTGGAGAGCCTGGTGCTCGATAGGGCATGTATGTACAGTATTTTGAGGCCCTTTCTATCCAGGCAAACTGGAACACTACTAGCTTAATGGCTTTAGCATCGAGCTAATATGTGGCTTAAGCTCCGTGCTTGTTTCTTGTCTCTAGGTCATTTTTGTTTTAATGGAGCAACACAGTCAAGACTGCTACCAAATGCCTGCTCGACCATTTGGAACATAAGTTCCAGTTCAGCCTCACTAGTGGCCTCACCTAATGTGTGTAAAGTGTGTGGAAGTTTATCGACAAGAGCTGCAGTGTCGGAAGGACCCATCAAACAGCTAGAGCAGTACTTAGGAGGTGACAATGCCGCAGTCTTACTATCTGGGGTTTTATTATACATGTTTTATCTATAATTGTATTTCTAAATCTTTCCCTAAAATGTCAACATCATTGTATTGATGAATTTTATGTAACTGGTGCGGTTACTTATCATGTAAATACGAATTATATCACAGTATGCAGTTATTATTATGCAATATTTGCAACCATTAAAACAGGCTGCAATAAAATACAAACATTGTAACAACAGTTTAAATTATGAGGATAATTGTGGTACTGGATGAGTGCAATATATGGTGGCATTACACCAATGCTAGTAGCACAATTGACTCATATTTTGGATTTAAATTCCTCAGTGATACGATAGGCATAGCTATAATATAACAAACAATAATGAAATAGTGTTTATTTTATTGTATTTCAAAAAAATGAATTAGCGGTATTCTTTTATTGAAAGAAACACATATACCATTGAGCAGGATCCTGTTACATGAGCAGCATGAAGTTGATGTCTGATGATGTTTGACATTTGCTGCGAAAGAGCAGACCTGAAGTGGTGAGGAAGATCCTGGGCTACCGGTTAAGTGACAGGAATTGCAATCGAGAAGATAAAGGGGGAGAGATTTGCTGGAGTTGTTTTTTTTTTTTTTTTTTGTGCCCAGCCAAGTGTGAATAATATTTGTTTGCAGATGTTGAGCGGTATGATTTATTCATTTCCCAGAGCTGGCTGGTTCATGGGTAAAATCTTCCCCCACTTCTCTTTCATCACTGCCACTTTGACCAAGAGCTGTGGCCACTTGTTAAAAGATGCGTGGAGGAATTGATTTTGCAGTAGGGTTAACTAATTCTGATTCTAAGGGTATTTTATGTTCTTTGGTGTTCAGTCCACCCAGCCTAATTATTATAAGACTTGCGACCAGGAATAGTGTGTGCAGCTTGTTTGCTCTGTGTGTGTGTGTGTGTGTGTGTGTATGTGTGTTATGTAGTATATGTTACATTGTAGGGACCAAATGTTCCCCACAATGTAATAAAAACCTGTTATTTTGACTTTGTGGTGGACCATTTTTCTGGTCGACACAAAGATCTGTGAATGCAATCAAAAATGCCAAAATTCTCATATTTTATTTGGTTACCTACAGTTAAGGTTAGGGCTGGGTAGTGGTTAAGGCAAGTTATTCCGATAGAAATGAATGGAGAGCCCCCACAAAGATATAATTACAAATCCATGTGAGGACCAAAATGTCCCCATGTGTGGTAAAACTTCCTTACTTTTGGAGCCATTTTTCAGGTCCCCATTTTGATAACCTCCATTTTATAAAAATCTGTGAATGCAATCAAAAAAGTAAAAATGCCAAAAGTCTTGTATTTTATTAGGTTACTTATGGTTAAGGTTAGGGCTGGGTAGGGCTTAAGGGTGTCATGATTAGGGTTAGGGTTTTTCCCATAGAAATAAATGGAAGGTTCCCATTTATATAGGTACACCAACGTGTGTGTGTGTGTGTGTGTGTGTGAAGGTGTTCATCCTCAGCTAGGTGTAAAATCTCATAAACACACGTTGCCCCAAACACTCCACACTCACTTGTTTTCCACATCCCTTTTACACACTTTTTTTTCTCACTGTTTGTCTGCACAATAACAGATGGTGACTGAAATGAACAGGGTGAAAATAAAGATGCACGACACGGCTTTGTGCGGGGCATGACGAGCAAACCCAAAAGTGTCTTAAAAGCTCCAAGGGCACTTTTAAAGAAAATACACCGTATGTCTCAATAATTCATGGGTGTCATCCTTAGGTTACAAGCTGACAGTGGGGGATGGGGGGAGAGTTTTTAAGACATTTAAAGGTACCACAGTAAGTGTGTCATCATTCTCCGGTTTTGAGAAACCGATCTTAAGACCATGCGGAGTCTCTTCCCCGGAGACCCTGCAACACCCTCTACTCCAGGCCTGAGAATTTCTGTTCTGTGGAGGACCGACTCCAAGCTGCACATGAAAGCAGGGGAAATTTTTCAATGACAAAAAAAAGTACAACAAAATCTAACAAGTTCAAGTTTGATTGTTGCTACCCACACTCGGAATATAAAAGGGTCTTTATTGCCTCGTTTTTATTCCTGTTGTCCTTATGAGATTGATTTTTGTGCATTTATATTTGGTGGTATTTTAAGTTACCATGGTACATTTTTGTCTTAATTTACACTTCATTCAATAACTGTTTAAGCCGTTTCCCTACTGAATTCAAATACAAAGTAAATAGTTGTTGCTTCCTATTTTAAGATAACAATTTAATACAATGATATTATAATAATTCATCACCTTTCCAGCTTTTGTATTTGTGTTAAATTTTAGGTGTTTTTAATGTGTAATTATTGCAAGTGGTATTATTTTGCTGAGTAAGATTTTGTAATTCCCAGCTTGCTGCTGGGCTGTACTAGGAAATGGACTTTTATTACATGGCCATATATTTACATTACAATTACTTGGAGTAAATTCTAAAAGCACAGTATGTACCAACTGTTTCCAGTAGCTGGTGCGTACATTTTAATTACTATGGTACCACAGAGTCCTCAAATGGATATAAAATGCTAACAATCGGTGGTGCAAATATTAAGGCCCGCTGAAGTTGCCTAATAAAACATATTAAATCAGTTAAGCAATGGAAATGTTCAGACTGCGGCATTTTTTATGAAACCTTTTCCCATTAACTTTAAGCACTTCCTCCCTCCAGGAATATATCACCAACTTCAAGCTGCTGGCTTTAGCGATGCCTATAGCAACAGAGCTGTGTAATGGATACGGGGACAATGGCAGCCCTCTGCACGTCCACTAGCCTAGCGTCTGTTCAGAATGCAGCCTGGCTTCAGGACCGAAAGCAGCGTTTGTAAATCACTCTGGCTGGGGACAGGTGCCCTAGGGGAGGGCATGACACTGACTGAAACCCCAGAGGCCATGTGATTTGTCTTCTTGGGGGATGGGTGAGTGTGGCCAACCTGCAGCACCTCCCATTGCTTGCGTCTGGCTATCCACAGGAAACCCCCTGCCTGGACTAGCCTACCTCGGGGTCTCAGAGCGTGTGCCGCACAGACGATTATTTAACCGCCTTTTCAGGAGGCTGCTTTTCTCAGCTTGAGAGCTGTGCGTTCTGATGACCGACCAATGAACTGCCACCCCTTTAATATTTCTGGGTGAGTTGAATCCCGCGTGCCTTGTGCTTGTCCGTGTGGGGAGCAGCGGTTGGGGGGAGCGTCCCTCCGGGGCCTGAGCTGCTGTCACTCTGAATTTACGCCCTATGAAGCGCCAGGGAAGCCGAAAGTGTGGCCACCTGAATCCTGATTGCCTCTTGGTTGCGTGCCGCTAGTTACTGGCCCCTCCTTCCTCTCTCTGTCGCCTCCAGCAGACTCAGGCTCATTAGCATCCATTGGCCCCGCCTCCTCTCAACACCCAGCGACCGACAGCCCGGTGCTTCTGTCTCTGGCGTGCTGCACAGACCTCAGACCAGCCCTCAGTCGATAGTGATCCTGCTGCTCAGTGCGCGACTGGATCTTCCCACATACCAGTGCCAGCTCACCATTCCACATGTGCCCGATTTTCTGTGACTGTGGGGGCTGTCTGGGAAAGCAGCGGTAGCACGACCGCCTGACTCCCTGGCGTCAACTGCCACTGCTAACGCGAAGGAACAGAGAGCGCCTTAAGCTCTGGGTGACTCTGGGAACAATGAAATCTCCAGCCACCAGGCACCATCCTAAAGGGTGAGCTGCCTGACACTGTGCACCTGCATGCTCGCGGCAATACTCAGCTCATTAGAGTGAAAAGCTTGAAGGTTTACAGAAAGGTAAGTGTGTTTATTTCAATGCTCCATTTCTAGGTTATTTATGGCAGAGTTATGTATTTGTTATGCATGCATTCTCTCATGGGTAATTAGTAAAAATTTGCATGTAATCAATATGACTTCATGTATAAAGCATTAGGAGTGGACTTTTCAATCTGAATAAAACAAGCAAGTGCGTCTGGCAGGTCTTCACGGGGTTATCTATCACCCCGTGTATATCATGGCTGATGTCTGAGGCTCACCTGACATTAATGATGTTCCCTAACAGACACTCCTGAGCACTCAATTACATCCACCCACTGTTCTTAAATGGGACGTTCATGGAGCTGTATGAGAAGAAGCATGTTGGTGGGAAAGAAGAGGCTCAGCCGCCCCCATGTGGTGGCCGGTGAAATCACATCTGCATTCTTCTGCTGATTTGTTTGTAATGCATCTCATACCTCTCCCAGCCTCTAGGTGGAGATATGCATGCATATGATTTCTGCAGGTGCTGAATGTCTAATTTCACAATAATCACACCTGATCATCGTAGTGTGTTTTGCAGAGACTTGAGTCTTTTTTTGTTCATTGTGACTGGACTCTGAATGGAATTTTAAATTTACTGTGTATTCAGATGTAGCACATTTTTACAATAAGTTCTTCGGGTCTCGGATCACAGGGATATGCATTTCATTCTCTTCTTCACTGCTGGGGGGGGGGCACTGACAGAGGTGAAGAATGCATGAACGGAGAAGCTACTATTATTAAATAAATGTTTTAAAATACACATTGTCTACATTGTCTACTCACCTGGGCCACAATGGTTTTGAAATATGCCTATTGCTTCAATTACACTGAATATGTTACGCACCTTTACTGCAGATTCTGTCTGTCTGATTTAGTCCAATATGCCTGATTATGTTTGATGTAAAGGGTAAATAGAGTGGAGTGCTGCTGAACTGCAGTTATATTACAGTCCATCCTGATTATAATATAAATGCCAATTTTTGCTGTTGCTATTTTCAGGCCAATTCATGGCCTACATGGCCGGAATGATTCATGCTGTGCATTTATACTTTTTTGTTTTCTTTGTCTAGATCTTGTCTTTCCATTGTGGTGAATTTCACTTGCAGGTAACTTTGCCCAGTTGTCATTACTGGCTGCCCCACCTCTGTCTCGGTCTCTATGACACAGAGGGGCAATATCTTAAACGGAGGGTATGGAGATGCAGTGCAGGTAGTAGAGGGCAAGACTCGTGCTTGTGCTGGCCCGGTTCGACAAAATCCCAGCTTTTTTGACCCCCAGATAATTCAGTCTGACTTTTTGTCATCATGGGAGCACACCAGATGATCTTAGTAATGTTAGTTATCTACAGTAACTTACTGTATTGTCCTAAATTGAGTGTAATGAAAAAGTCCCTGTGTCTTAACTGCATATCCTGGTCAAGGGCATGGGGGTGGGGGGCTGGAGCCTGTCCCAGACAGCACAGGATGGGGTGTGCCCTGGATGGGATGCCAGTTTGTAATGAATCCAGTTGTGCTTAAAATTTAGGGGGTAAAAATAATGCCTATTGCTTAAGTAATCTGAACACTGCATGTACACAACTGGAAAATTACAGACGATCCAACATGATTGAATCTCGAACATCGTTTGATCGACAGTTAAAGCAGGTTCATTATAATACCTCAGCATAGAAAAAAATAGACCAGCAAACACAGGAAGAGGAACTGTAAGCAGCTTTGCCAGCTGTTGCCAAGTATCACTAAATGTACAAGAATAAAAAATTACATTTCTTGTTAATTTAAAAATTAAGATTATATCATCTTAGGTAGGATTCAGTCCAACTGAACCTGCTTCAGACTAAGGTCCGTGATGGTGCGGCAGGCCCTAAGGCTGAGCTTTGTGACTAATCGGCACTAAACTAGCTTAATTCTCCAGGCCAAGTTTCCACATGTAGCTGTAGAATTATAAGGATCTTCTTGTCTCCACCTACTGGTCATTTGGAGACTTGCGGCAACTGTTTCAGATATCTATTTTATGGTCAGAAGTTCCCATCCCTACAAATCTAAAAATGACCATCTGTAATCAGTACATCCAGAACTTTGATAGGACTGCTATCCTTAATGTTACATTTTAATCAGTGTTCTCCTTGTGCAAGTATGTACACCGTGGTGGACTGGTGTCCTTTCCTGGTTGTGCCCTTGAATGAGCGCTTGCTGCCCGGGATGGACTCCTGGGGCAGTATTCGATCTGCAGGTTAGGAAGTATATGTAATACAGCGCTTGGTCCCACCATGACCCTGATTTGGACAGACAATACAATGTTTGGATTATTGGACAGGTTATTACCACCTTCTTGATAAAAGAAAGAAAGCCACATCATTTCATCTTTGCCATACAGGAACTATTCCATTATCTGTAAGCACGTGTGTTATTTCGCATCATAGGGGATCAGAGTCTATAGTTTTGGAGGTGGGGACACTGGAACACGTGGATGCTGATTACACATCAGCAAGAGCAACAGGATGGTGGCAGGAGTATTTAAATATCACCAGTAGAGGGCATGACCTGGAGAGCACCATGCATCTAGGTCATCTGCTCCCCATTACGCAATCGTCATAAGTCTGCCTGATATCTCTCGGAACAAGTCAACGTAATTTCAAGACATGTAAACTGGATGTCCACCATAAAGCAGTGGACTTCACCTGTTACCGAAGAAAGGCAGGTTTGTCCCATATGTTTCAAGCTGATGTATAAGTCCATTCAAAGTCAGAACCACAGCTTAAGACCAAAAACTAAACTTGACTTAATACATTTCATGGTTGTGGAAATTACTATCGGTATACATTAAAAACTTGCCAAGCAATCCTGGATGTCACCATGACATGCACCAAGCGTTCAACCTGGCTGGTGAATGATTAAAAAATCACCCATGTGACTGATATTTACAGACAGCCCTAAGTAAACACTGTGTGAACAGGGACTTGAACCCTGGACCCTCAGATTAAAACCCTGATGCTCTACCGACTGAGCTATCCAGGCTCTGAAAAGCAAAGCTGGATGTTCTGGTGAAATCCTGGATGTCACCATGACATGCACCAAGAGTTGATTGATTGAAGAAGGGCCCACGAGACTGATATTCACAGAGAACCCTAAGTGAACACTGTCCGAACAGGGACTTGAACCCTGGACCATCAGATTAAAAGTCTGATGCACTACCGACTGAGCTACCCAGGCTCTGTAAAGTTCAACAAAATGTTTGAACTCAGCCTTAAAGGAGTGAAACTCACGATGCATCCAAAAATAATGCAACCGCCAGTGTCGGGAGACTAAGAAACTGATAACTGGCATTTTTAACAGTAGGCCGGTTTAGAAAATATTGAATGAGAATGAAAGTTATGGTTTGGCCCTTACGTTTCAAGCTGATGTATAATTCCATTTAAAGCCAGAACCACAGCTTAAGACCAAAAACTACACTTGACTTAATACATTTCATGGTTGTGGAAAATACTATCGGTATATACATTCAAAACTTGCCAAGCTGGATGTCCTGGTGAAATCCTGAATGATATGCACCAAGTGTTCAACCTGGCAGGTGAATGATTAAAAGAACACCCATGAGACTATCATTCACAGAGAGCCCTAAGTGAACACTTTATTAACAGGGACTTGAACCCTGGACCCTCAGATTAAAAGTCTGATGCTCTACCAACTGAGCTATCCAGGCTCTGAA